TGCGTCATGGTCACCTTTTTTATACTGTCGACTCCTCGATTGTTGAAAAGACAACATTTATAAAAAGTACGGATTGGTTGGTGTGGTTGATATATCCAAAAATATAATCTATTAAAAATGAAACAATTTAAACCATTTTGTTTTAAATTTAACTGAATTTAAGAAACGTAATATTTACGTGTATTTATAATTCAAATTGAAACTGTAAGGATGAGTTGCGTTCTCTTTTATGAGAACCTTATAACTCAGCAGAAAGTTTCCACACGAACTTAGACCCATAAATACATGTCTGTTGGAATTACAAATATTATATGTTTTTAGAATATTTTTTTAGTATTATACCCTTGCACGAAACCATGTGGCACAACGTCCTTGAGGCAAAATCTTAACCTATTTGGCACTTCATTGTAAGGTGGTACTTGGGGGGTAGTTCTACTGTACTGGAAGTTAAAAATAGTAAAACATAGGATTTAATTAAAAATTAAATATTTATTGCAACGGTTTGCTGTTGTTGTAGTAATTAATTGGGTTACTAAATAAGTTTAAAATTAAACTCACTTCTCGATTCCTGAGCATAACACATAGATTTTGCTGTCGCTGTTGTGATCCCTCAGTATTGAATTTCAGTTCAGAGTGGGTACTTAAGTCTGAATCTGAGCAACTATCAGTTGCAGTAGTAAAACTTTCATCGTCATCTTCCGACGAGGAGGCCGATATTGATTGCGTATAGTCATTTGTACTAAGATTAGCGTCCATGACTAAATACAAAAAAAGTTATTAAACAAAAAATAATTAACTAAATTAAACAATATGTAAATGGTTTTTGCTTAATGAAAGACAACTTAAACAAAAAACCTTTTAGCATTTTATAACAAAATCTCTGCATCAGATTCACTTACAGCAGCTTAGCTCCCCAAACTATCTACAACAGCCGAAAAATTTCAAAGCAGTAAGATAGAGCGGTGTTCACCAACTCGTACACATTTGTTAGAGGAAGATGGAATGAGCAAGAATATCGTATTTGACAGGTAGTAAAAATATGAAAAGAAAAGCAATATAAACAATCTGTAAATAAATGGAAGTAAAGAAGAGATGCACTAACAATTTTTGACATTTGATTATTCGAACTCGAATTTAAGTGTTGCATTGTTATGAAATGTATATGAAAAAAATTATTAACTGTGGAGTACATGAATGCAGAATTTGTTAAACATGCAATATATCACCGATATTTTTATAAGTTTGGTTTTTAGTATTCTCTACCGCATACATTATATATTAAATGGGATTTTAAGTTTATTGCTGTAATTATACTATTAACTATATTATTATTGTATTAATGATTTGAAATGCACTAATAACTGATATAACTTATATATGAGTTTGTTTTTTGCAAATGTTAAATAAATAAATGAAATCTTAATCAATTGGATTTCTGCAATACATAAAAATTCCTAGTTTTTAATTGTGATTGAAATCAATACATCCGCGGTTCTTTTAACTCCTTAAGGGCCATACGGCCCAAACAAAATATTTGAATAATATGTGGTTTGCTGCTAAGCGATTCACTTCATCGCAAGAGTGCGCTCTTATATCGTTTCTCTTACTACAGAACTTTTACACGTAATTTTTTACTTTCCACTTCTATTTTCTTGTTAACTTCAGTGCAGTGGCTGCTGATAATTTTTTAAGGCGGCTTCCATAGGATTTACCCAATCGATCCTTATTTACAGTTGGTAAATATGTGGGATGTTGTTTCCATATTGTATCGTTGTAACAAATAATAATTACTAATTGCATTTGGCCATCAAAACGAATTATGGTACATTTAAGGTAAATATTTGAATCTTTGGAGTTACAGATCATTGGCAGGAAGTTATATTTCCAAGCTTTCCTGTGTTACACACAGGCTGATTTGGCCTCAACTGGTTTAGTTCTATATCGTCTGTTCTGTCACAGTCTGAAGCTGTTATGCTGAATATGTAAGAAAAGGAATGTGTTTTATTTGTGATTTCGATTAAATGTGCTCATTGCTCATATGAAATCATTGCTTTTGTTACAGTTACAATTTTGGGATATTTTTTTTTATTACATTTATTTTTAAATTAAGTTTATCTGCTTCCTGGACCATATGTTTTAGTTTGTTTAGAACATGGAACAAAATCAGTACACAATTTAAAAAAGTTGAAACATTATATTTAATATATATATTTTTCGTATTTTATTATGAATATAATTATCGTTATATACAATAAGTTTAAAAAATTTCCTCATACTTTTGTTGTATTAATTTTTTTTATCTGGACACATTGATTTATTTAAACAATCTTTTATTATTTTTGTTTTCGTTTAATATAGATGGTAGACATTTATACAAAATTCAGTTAATTTATGCTTTCTATGTGATCCATTGTAATATTATAATTTAAGGGTCTCGCTATCTATTTTTATTTGATCTATTTAGAATGAAAAATCACTTTGTCATATTAATAAAACATATTAATAAAAATATTAGATATTAGTTGAGGAGACCTTAAAGTGACTAAACGACTTCTGGCGAGTGCAGTAACAGAGCATATGAGTGACAAAATAAACTTTTTCCTACAAGACAAAGCCGTTAGTGTTGTAATTATATTTATAATTGTGGGGAAAACTAGACCATAACGTAATTATATTTTTTTTTGTGATTGGAGTGGGACCATGTCTTAAATTCAAAAACTAAACTCTTCTTTTCCAAAGAAGGCTCCCTTATACAATTATTCAATAAATAAATACAGTTTTGATTAAATAAATATATTTAAAATAAATAATAATATAAACTAATAAAAACAGCAGTAAATAGGAAGAGAACAGTTCTCAGAATAGCATTTAATAATTATTGAAATTCATGTTTTCAAACTCGACTTGGTTGATCCGATATTATGTGAACTTGTACTTGAAGGAACTGTTGTACGCTTTTCTCTAAAACCTGGTATTCTGATTGTATTATGTATAGCACCTGCCGTTTGGTTGAAAAGTTCTTCAATGTTTGTTTTACTACCTACAGATAAATCAAATGCCGAATTGGGTAATGTACTAAACTCCTTCTGTGGACTTGTGTGTGATTGTAAAGTCTGTTGACTTGTTAGCCTATTTTTATGCTTTATTATCCAACTGTTGGCTTCAATATTAATGGGCATGGGTACTTCAGCTGTTGGTGAAGCGTCGACGTTAATTTCAGGTATTGCGGGAAGCAATGGTTTTTCTTCAGGAGTATCATATATTACCCAATTATCTGGTCTGTAAAGAGTAATTAAATTACATTACATGAACTATTAAAACAAAACTTATTTAAAAATACCTCTCTGGTTTTGTTAAAATTTTGATTGGTGCAAATGCAATTCTCAATGCGGGTCTGTTAAGTCGATGTTCTGTTTCATGACGTAAAGCTGTTATTGCCGCTGTTTTGGTCTCTAGTAAAGTTTCTGTTGAAGTTTCTTCAATGTCTTCAGCTAAAATGTCATTATTTAAATGTTTACCAAAAGTGTCTGGATAATTAGTAGCAGTTTCTGTCAAGTGTATAGGTATCAATAAAGTCGTACGTTGCATTGGTTTCGGTATATCATTCATTTTCTTATCAGAACCGTTTAGAACTGGTAGTACGTAGTCATCGTCTAATTTGTTAGGACTATTGTTAGTAGTTTCATTCGAGTTAGCGTTCTGTTTTGTTTGCAATAAAGTTCCTACCATATGTTCTGGTCTCAAGTAGCCGTCTCTATCGAATACTCTACCAGGCGCAATTACTGCTTCATTATCATCGTCATAATATGTATATTCGTCATCAACAGTCGTGCTTAAATTAGTTAATGGCTCAAGTGTTCTACTTAAATAGTCGAAATCGTTTTGTTTCTGTTCAGCTGACGCTTCTTTTTGATTAATAATGTTTTGGTTTCGTAAGTAAAGAGGTTGGTTTTGGGTTTGTTGTGGCTTTTGCAGTGACGTTGAGAATGGGCTATTTATATTTTCACGATGCGATTGCTCATAAAAGGAATTAGTTTGTGGTGTACCAACTGGTAAGTTAACGTATTCAGGTTGTACATAAGGTGTTTGATGAGCTGATACAAGACCATAGCTCCCACTTTCAGGTCTCACAGCACCTAATACTGGTCTATTTCCTACAGGCTTTGGACGTATATTGAAACTGAAAATGCTATCCCCTCCACTGGAAGTAGCTACGCCAGTAATAGATCCAAAATTATTAGCCGCAATTGTGCCACTTGTATGTATTTGGCTAGGATAACTTGATATTTGACTAAAACTTGAATGCATAACTGGATGCTGTGGTGGTATCGGTGGTTGCGATACATAATGAGATGTAGGAACGTTTGAACTGTGAACACTACCAACATGACTGTTAGAATTACTAAGCTCAAAGCTAGGTCTATCTTTTTGCCCAGTACTTTGCGTTTGCGGATTCCGATTGCCAGAAAAGCTGTTTGAAGCAAATGTCAGAAAATTTTGAATTAGTCCGGGTGCTTTAGTTGTTAATCGTTCGTCATGTTCGTCTAGGTATATAATCGTTGGAGGTTTAGTTCGTTTATGATTCGAATATGGTGGCGTAGTTGGAAGCGGTTGATAATAAGCATAAGTGGGTGTTGTACTTGTGCGATCTATGTATGGTAGAGTATATCTGTCATAATTGTAAGGCCTATTAGCAGTAGTATAGTCTGCGTAATTTGCAAGTTGTGCAGATAAAGGACTCTTGTTAGTCTGTCGTATATTTATCTCGATTTCATATTGGTCTGCGTTAGTACCGCCTACTACCACTTTTTGGGGGCTACTGTATACAGAACGTGTGTCATATTGTCTTAGTTCACTGTTCTGTTCATAGGTATTAGTTGTTGTTGTAATTATTGAACTTAATGTAGTAGGTTTAGTAGTTGTCGTGCGAAGCGTGGAAGTTCTAGGAGTCGTTACGTTTTTGATAACTGTAGTATTCGTTATTTTTATCCGTACAGGTGCTGTTGTTGTAGTAGTCAAGTTGTATTTGTATCTATGTAGCAATTTCTTACGAGTAATTAAAGGTTCTCTGTTATTTAAAGAAGTCTGTTTATTATCCAGTTTTCTTTGCACTCTTTTATGTTCTTTCGTGGACGCATGTTGAAAAGGGTCCAACTCAACGTCTGTGTTATTAGTTATTTCTTCTTTGTTAAAAATTTTACTGTCCTGTGTTGTTTCTAGGTTTTTATCAGTTAACGTCTCAGTATCAATATCAATATGATTTAGAGTAGAAATTGTCCTTATAAATGCGTCTTTCACCCCTGAAGTCTGTTTTGTTGTCTCGTTCATAAGTTCCCCTCTATTGAATACGTTTAGTACTGTTGGTTTTTCTAAATAAGGTTCAGAGTTATTTAATATAACTTTACTATCTACGTTAAGTGTTAAAATATTGCCATTTAACTGGTCCACTATAGATCCCAGTTTAGAATTAATTTGCGTCTGATTTACACCATTGCTATCTTGTTTACTTTTCTTATGTTTTGAAATGTCATTATGCAATTTATCTAATATTTCAAAGTCATGCTCATTTTCATTTACAGATTCTTTATCAGTCTTTAATCGTACAAGAGTCTCCTTATGTTGTTTTTCTAATATTTTCATGGTAAAATCATCATCTTTTTCATTTCTAGTTTCTCTGTCTATCTTTGTTGTCGACTTGTCATTATGTAAATCGTCTATTACTTCAAAATTAGGTCCATTTTTGTTTCTTGGTTCTTTAGTATGCTGTTCTTCTATGGTTCTTGTTTCAGAATCGTTTTGGTTTTCTGTTCTAGTTGTTTTCTTACTCATTGCTGTAGAAATATTGTTATGTAGTCGGTCTACTTGTTCAAAATTTGGTCTATTTTCGTTTTTAGTTTCTTTCTCTGTATTTAATAGTGTCAAATTTGCGTTATGTTTTTCTTCTACTGTTTTCATGGTAGGTTCGTCTTCGCTTGCGTGTTTAGTTTCTTTCTCTGTCACTGTTATTGAAACATCATCATGTAGTCCGTTTAAAAAATCAAAGTTAGGTCCATTTCTATGTTCTTTTTCTGTCTTCAATGATATAGTATCTTTATCGTTTTGTTCATCTACTGTCTTAACATTGATGTCGTTTTCATTTTCAGTTCTAGCTTCGATCTCATTTTTTGGTGTTGAAAGTTCAGTTTCTTCTTCACTTCTAGCTGTCAAAGTCGTTCTTGTGGCACCTTCAGTTTTTTTTGAAAGTTCAGTTTCTTCACTTCTAGCTGTCAAAGTGGTTCTCGTGATACTTTCCGTTTTTTTTGTACTTTTCTCATCTGCATTTCTTAACTCTATGGCTACATTATTAACTATAACAGTTCTTTTGGTAGTCGTCAGTATAGGTCGTCTGTTTACATTCTTTATATTTAAAGTAATTTTAGTGCCTTTGTCAAGTTTGTTATTTACTCCAGTAATGGGTTTCTGAGTAGGACGATTGGAAGATTGGTGTTTACGTTTGATATCAAGTTTGTCACTGACTTTTGTTTTATCTTTTAAACGTTGGGGATCATTAGTAGTTAAAAGGTTTTCTGTATTAGTTGTGTGAATGAAATTTACGTTTGCACTGTCACTGGGCTTGTCACGTGAGGGAAATCCAGCTTTGTTCTCTTTGAAAATGTGTATTGAAGTATGGGAACTGTCAGTCAATTCCGTTGGTAAAATATTAAAAATTTGTTCTGGTGTATGGGAGTCAAACGTATGTTGTACAGGTTCTACGTTAAATGGATCTTGTTCTAGCCAGGGACCCAAATCAATAGGAGTAAGTGATCCTGTACCACATATCACACGCTCATTACCAGAAATTTCTGGTGGTATAAATATATGTGGCTGAAATGTTCCTCCTCCTACAACGCGACAAAGTACTTGAGCTAAAGACACGCGACGTATTGAATGCAGTTGTGCTGGAGTAAATGAGCTTTCAAAACCACCATTTTCATACCAAAAACGATCACCTTTGCGAGAGTTGCTAAATTGTTGTGCAATAATGCATGCAAAAGTTGGACCAACCAAGCCACCAACAACTGGACGCTCGGCTATACCACCTACGAAAAGGTCAATATCATGAACATTACGATAAGCGTGTCCAATACGTCTTGCTGATTCAGGTCCTACTACATTTGCAAAGTCATCCCAAGAAGTAATTGCAGTTAGACCACATGGAATACGCCAAGATGTGTATGGAGCTATACCGTGATCTCTACCACGTTGTATGTTAATAGCTGCCAAGTCCAAACCAAATGGAAATCCTTAAAATAAATTTAGTAGTTGAAATAATGCATGATAAAATGAAGAGATCCTTTTAGCAGTACCTGGTGTTTGAAACAGATGATTAGTGAGTTCAGGTGTAATGAACTCATCTCGCTTAAGTGATCTTTGATTAGCCATTCCACGTATAAGACGATTAAGTGAGCCCGCAGAACCAATATCACCACGCTGAAATTCTTCATGCAAGCTAACATCTGTGAAGAGCACGTAAATAATATGAAGATATACTATAATGCTTTATTATAAATTTACTATTATTAATGACATTGTGATGACGATCGCAACGCATGTACGAGTTCTGCACCAAAGAATGACCAAATCGGAAAGCTGCTGCTGCAAATGAATTAGCCACAGTTGGATTGGTTTTAAGATCATATCCTTCATAATAGCCTGAAGTTAACAAATCCAGGTCAAAAAGCTTACATACTTCTCGACCTAAAACAATAGGCAGAAACTCTCTGTAAGTGATGTGTTGAAACATTGCGCCGATAATACGACGTGTTTCTTGATAAATTTTTTCATCACTCCAATGCGGATTTATTTCACTTAGTTCCAAGGCAATTCTATTATGCTCTCCAACCCAAACATGGTGTAATGCCAATAAACCCGGTTGTTCCCCACTTCGCCCATCACCAGCGCGAATGCATTGTTTAGCAAAACCGCCACGTTGACAAATATCTTCCGCAGGACTACCACGTCCATATACTAATAAACCATTGCGAAAGATACGTGCATTGTCTGCCGACTTTGCACTGTTAGAATAAATCGGAGAAGCATCTATATAGGATGTTGCCTGGTTTGTTTGTTCACGCCATGAGAGTACACAATCTCTGCGTTGTGCAGGTGCAGAACGCAAAAATTCCAAACAACGCACTTTTAAAGGTGATAGCCAAGGATCATCGAGTGGCACTTTAATAGGATAGCAAGAAGGATGAAAGTCATTACCACCGCAGCAGCTTGGCACTGAACCATTAATAGATCTGAAAATCAAAGAAAAAAAATTAGTTTTTTATCATCTCTTTGCGAAAGATTTTTTCGTTGGACTTACCTGGGCTGTGCAGTGGATGTCAAATCGTGATCTAACAATTGCCCCCATTGTGCAATCATTAACGTTAATGGTGCCTCTCCATCTTTGGCCCCGTGCACAAGCAGGCTCACGAAGCGTGAAGACGATAGTGCTCCTCCTTCAACCGAATTCCGTATAGTATCAACACCATCGCCATACTCAGGCGGTAGAAAGCGATTAAAAGGCATTTGCGCAGCACCCCAACGAGGACGGCGACTGTTATTACAAGTACCGTCATGAGTGCGATAACGTTCTGCTGCGGGCATACATGTTGGCGGGTCGCGCGGCGGGCACAGACCTTCCAAAGCAGTGCGACGCAAGGATATCTTCTGAGTTTGCGCATGACGCGCTAACTGATTGATGTGTTTAAAGCTGTTGAACGAAAAATAATTAATGACATGATGACACAGCTATGTTGTTACGAAATCATCCTACCAATTTCTTCACATTGCGCTTTTTTGGAAATATTAGTTATGTTCAAATCTAGTCAGCATTTTGCCAACAAAGCTTTGGGTTGAAATGATTTCGATTTCAAACGAGCGCCAGTATTTATAAAAACATTTCATCAGCGCTTGCAACGCGAAAATGAACAACAACATATGTAGTGGCTGCGAGACAAAGCGATCTGGCGCTCAGTTCGCACAATGAACATTGAAATTTCACACGAAACGACAAACAGCGAAACGGACTGCAAAGACGGACACAGAGTCAAAAAGACAATGCAGCACTCGTCTACTTTTGATTTCAGAGTTTGGGAAAAAAGAAGGAGAAAGTGGAAAATGCTTTCCAATCGCAAATATAATTTTCAGTTTTGCTTTTTTATTAAATGTTGGCTGATTGCAGTCTTCAGTCTTCAGTTTTTATGGTCTCTTAATTTCCGAAGAGGTTTGCATTTCCACGGTTTTAAGCGAAACGAGTTCGACTTCCTTTACTAGATATTTTTCGTCAAGTTGCTAGCCAATCAAGACTACCATTTCGTGTACTGAAACTGGTAGCACAGGTTAGTGACTATACGTTTTGGGGTCAGGAAAAGCAGAAAATGGTTAAAATTAGAAGAAAATGATTTCGTTGTTGTAAATTTGGGTCCAAATTACTTATATTTAAATTTGTTTAAAATTATTTGATTCGCTACTGTTGATCATCTTAATTTGAGATCATTTAATTGAGTTAAAATCTTTTAAAAATGAGGGGAATTGCATTTCGTCTTAATGTAACTAATAACGGTGTATTGAGAAAAATTCATAATTGTTAACTATTCATTAAATGAGTTGAGATTTGACCTAAAATGGATAAAAAAGAATCACTGATGATTAAGTGGGAAAAAGAAGTTCTATTTAACATAAAAATGAGTTTGGATTTTTAATGCTTTTTATTTTTAATTATGTTTTAAAATGTTTTATAAAAAAAAATTTTTATTTAATAAGTTATACATTAATAGAATGAACTATTTCATCTACCTCATTGGTGCAAAGAGTTTATTTGATAAGGCTCTGCTATAAGATTTTCTTTTGGTAGATAATTTTTTAGTATAATGACACCAGATTAATTGATAATTTGTCAGAAATTAAATAATTCATAAATATATAAAACGTTACTAAGTGCTAGATTATAAGATATTGTGGCTTATTGTAATTTCAGTAGCTTTGTCACATTTGAAATCAAGAAGACCAATACGCTGACCATTTGCTAGAAATGTATCCTGACAAAGACATAGCCTTTGATGTCTATAATTGATAACATAATTGATATATACTTCATCAAAAATGAATAACCAAAACTCTTGTTTTCATTATGAAAAAGCAGTTGAAAAATTATTGAAATCTTGAGAACTAGAACAGGAAAACGATATATAAAGTGGAAAGTGGAAATAGAATAGCTAAAGTGGAATAGTTTAACTTGATCCAAAACTAAAAAATTGTGTACTACTGTTCCAAAGATTGTGGAACTATCAAAAAATTGCTATTGTACCACAATCTACTAACGGCCCATGCTCACAAGATAAAAAAGACCAATAATGATTGTCAGCAATCTGGAAAGAAGACTTTAAATATTTTTTATGTTTATATTCAGCATTATTATGTGCACGTTTTACATGTTTGGAGATCTCACAATGTTGGTAGTTAGCGAAAGTTTCGGAGATGGGGCTCCAGGTACCCTTTAGTTTCAAATATAAGTAGAGTACTAAACACATTTTGTATCACTAATATCCCGATTATATTAATATAAACTAAGAGTTAATACGTTAAAAATGCTTGGGGGTTCCACAATGTGGGAAATTGAAGGACGTATTAGGCATCATTCTTTAAGCACTGCTTAGATTCATCGTAGTCATATAAAATGATTTTTATTACGAAAAGATTAACAAAAGTTCACTTTTTTCGTCACAAAAATATTTGGCAAAATAATTTAAATTTCATAATTTCTTTTTTGATTTTTACATTTTACAAAGCAATCTTCAATATCAGTCTTTTGTAGATTTGATGTTCTCGTTATTGTTAAGACCCTTTCTCTCAAAAATTTTCCTCGTTGAAGAAAGTTGGCGCGTTATTATGATAAAGTGGAAACTCAGTTTCTTTTTTTCTGGTTTTTCGACTAAATTTGAAAAACGTGTGGTTTTTCTAAACATTTTTCAAAAATACTATTTAGCAGTTCTTGTCTGTCCAGTCTTCAGAGTTTTCAGAGACTTTTGTAAATTTACTTTACTCTGACTTTTGATGATGATCATTACTTTTGTTACCGATCTGTTGTCTGTCTTTTACAGACATATATTTATATATATAATAGATTAACACCTTTTGAGCTTCCTACCATCACTTGTTGCTTTGTTTTTGAGTTGTACTTGTAGAGGAAAACAATCACCTTTTATAATTTTGCTGAAGGTGTTTGACCCTATATTTTAAAATTTTTCAAAAACTAATTAATGCACACATGTCATTTTTTAAGCTTTAGTTAAAATTTGAAGACCCCATCCTATTGAATTCTTTATATATCCAAGATGATAATATTCGCTATACAACTTAGTTTATCAGCGATTACTTCATCGGTCAATCTTGGGTGTTTATGAAATTTGGACTTCACCACAGAGGCGCTTACATTCATAATCAAGGATTTTTAGCGATCTTTGTGAGATTCGTCCTCCACAGAAAAAATTTCGTTCTGGAATCTTCAAAACCAATTCGACACAATCACAAGCGATAGTGTAGAAGTGTAACTACTCATTAAATACTTCCATAGGCTTAAGGTTATGCCGAAATAGTGTAGAAGTGTAACTACTCATTAAATACTTCCAAAGGCTTAAGGTTATGCCAAAATTCTTAATGTATATTAAAGCGTTGATTTAAGTTATTACTGAAGTATGTCAGTTGACTTTCTTAGATTCGTTGAAAATTGAAGCAAACTTTTGTTTGCTTCAAAATTGTTTGGAGCTATTTTTACAAATCTATATAGATGTATAACTCAATCTAGTATCACTACGTAGTGAGTTAATGAGCTAACAGAACTTTAGCGATTAACTTTATAATTATTATGAGTTTAATTTGATAGAATAACTCATAAGTAGTGTTACATTTTCAATGTTAGACTTAATTACTTTAGTCAATGTTGTTGAGGATATTTTTTATGATAAACATTTAGAAATAAATTAAAATTATTTTTGAATTAAAATCATAGACATTCTATATTATTGTATTTTAAATTTATATATTCAAAATAGTAAAATAATTAATGTCAGTAAGGAAAATAAATTTTCAAACTAAGCTCTTCCAAACTAATTATTACAAACATGTGCTGGGTCACGTTTCATGACAATGCGTAGCTATTAGAGGGCTTTAAAATATCTTTAAAGTGAAATAATTTATAGGAAAGTGTAAATTTCTATTAGTAATAAATGTAAAATCAACAGCCTAGACTTTTCATCTAGCATTCGATTTAGTCTTCACTTCACAGTTATAAGCATTCAAATTTAAATTAAATATGCTTTTAAAATTAAACGAATTTAAACCGATTTGATTTATATCGTTGCTTTGTTTAAATAATGAATCGTACTGAAATAACTAAGTGATTATAAATTAAGCTAAATTAGTATCTATATCTTTTCACCACCTCTGCAAACCTCAACAAAATACCGCAAAATTGCATATTTGCATATCAACTAACACTTGATTCCAATAAATTCGTAAAAGTGTTTTAATCTTTTAATTTTACTTTTATTAAAGATTGGAGCTCTTCTCATCAACCAACTAAACCAACAAAACCAACAAAAAACGAAAAACAACATATTTAATAAAATTAAAAATTAAAAATTAAAAAGTAAAAATTAAAAAGTAAAAAGTATCGAATCTACCTTCACTGCAGAGACGAAATAATGTCATCAGTTTTTGCTTTCGTATTATGTATTTTTATATATTTATGTCTGTATTATGTGTGTTCACTTTTACACATTAGTCAAACGTTATTATTCATTTTGCAGTGGATCTTCGAACAAATGTCAATGAACCTTTTTTATTATACAAATTCATATAAAATGGCAGAGTTACGGCTTAAACCTCAAACGAAACTGAAAGTATCTCATTTAAAGGTTGATGTAATCAATTGTAAATGATCAAAACAAGCCTCGTGACGGTCTTTTTAAGATTTTTTCTTTCCAAATTGTTTACACTTTCTTCGACGGTTCATAAATGTTAAAGACTTTTTCTAATAGTTTTGTTATGTTTTTATGGTATTTTTTTAATAACAATAATGGCTTCAATTAACAAATTTTTGTTAACATAATAAATGATAGCGTTAACTGCATATGCATATACATATATATATTTATGTAGGTGCTCTTATATGTTCATACATTCAGATGTATTCATATAGGTATATATTTTAATTAATAATTATGGAAAATTTAAAATGTTTACAAAAAAATTTATGATTTTTAAAGAAAGACACATAATTTGATAATAGTAAGTAATTTAATTTATTAAGGCCCAAAGTTATCATACACAATTAAGTGTGGAACTCACAATATTATTATTATTATTAAAAAGAAGGAATCGTGAACGGCGACCTAAAAGCTCTATTGTACCCCTTAGACGGATTAGAGTATTTTTCCAAGTCCAATTTCTTTAATAAAAGATAGTATAGAGCCTATCTTTCCTAGTCTTGAATCCTTATGATCCATGTAATATCCTCCTAGGTGTTTCTTCCGTTTCTCTCTCTTCTCTACAGTATCTGCAGTTTGGGTTGGATTGAATTCCTAATCCTAATCCTTATGATCCATGTAATATCCTCCTAGGTGTTTCTTCCGTTTCTCTCTCTTCTCTACAGTATATGCAGTTTGGGTTGGAATGAATTCCTAACTTCGTTAGGTGATTATACAGTCTACA